GGCTGCGTGGACGGGGGTGTGGGGGTGGTGGCAGTGCCCCTGGCCGTCTCCTCCTTCTCGCGCTCGCGATGCTGCCGCCTCTCCCGCCGCTCCTCGTCGCGATCGCTCCGCAGGTCGCTGCCCTTGAGCACACGGCGGGACGTTATCACACTGCACACAGACAGACAGACACGGACAGAAAGGCATTCAGTGGTTGCAGTCAGCGGGACACAAGTGCGGGCGGGCCATACCTGGTTGGCTGCCCGGGGGTGCGGGATGGGACGCGAGAGGCCTCCTGGGGACGGGATGACTGACGAACACAACAGAGGGAGATAGACGGACAGACCACCGTGACACTCATCGGCAAGACAATGCAGTGTGTTGTGGTGTGTCGCTTACACTGGCCGTGTCTTCCTTGGCCGCCTTTCCCTTGGCTTCCTCAACAGGGGCAGCCTCTTTCTCAGCCACAGGGGCCGGCTCGGCGTGTGTCTCGACCGGCTCAGCCTCCTTCTGCCCCTCAGCAGGCGCCTCCTCCTCCTGTGGCGCTGCGGGCTCGGCCACCTCTCCCTCCTCGACTTTGGCAGGCTCCACGGGTGGGGGCTGCACGGTCTCCTCGACTCTTTCCTGCTGTGTCTCGGTCGGCACGGTCTCCATGACCTCGCCGTCCACCACAGGCGACTCCTGATTGTGCTCAACCACAGCACCAACACCGATGCCCCCGTCCTTTTGGCTGCCGTCGGGGGCAGCTGGCTTCACACTCCCAACACCATCTTCATCAGTGGCCGTCGGCTGAGGGGGGGATGCTGCAGACGGCAGCGAGACCTCCCGAGCCAAAGGCTCCATCGGCTGCGACAGCTGTCGGTCGCAGCCGACTGGTGTGCCGTCAGGCTCTTGGGCTTGAGGGGCCTGCACGCAACCGTGTGTGACAGAGCAAGGACACAGTGACATCGAGATGGGTGAGCGCTATTGTTCTAGGGGTGGATGCACCAACCTCTTCCTCGACGGGCATCTCCTTCTTTGCCTCCCCTCCCGCACCGACTGTTCCCTCCCCCAGCGGCACCTCAGCTTTTTTGTTCTCCTTCTTGGCCTCCTGGACAACCTTGACAGCTTCAACGACAGGCTCTGTCTTGCCAGCGAACTCTCCAACGGCCGAGGGGGGGGGCGCTGGAAGCACACACAAAACGAGGCATGACAGCACAACGCGTGCAGGTGTATGTGTGTGTTCGATGCAATACCTGTCTGCTTGTCCCTCCTGTTGGTCTTCGAAGTCGGGTTCGTAGCCCTCGTCCGACTTGACCTCCTCTGACACGGGCTTTCCCTCCTTCTCCACTGGTGCTGGCCACTCCTCAGCCTCCTTGGCACTCACCGGACTCGATGATGGAGATGTCTCGGGCGGCGCGCTGCACTCTGCTGCGATGGTGTCCTGCTTGGCAGGCACCAAGGGCTCCTCCCTGACCGGCTCCATCACCGCCTCCTCCCTGTCCACCTTTGTCTTGCCCGCCGGTGTCTCGCGCCCGGCTGGCGCGGCCTCAGCCTGACCCATAGGCACAGGGGCCTCCTGACCAGCGACAGCTTCCTCCTCCTTGGTCTTCGTCGGTGAGTGGCGGTGCTCGGGCGACGTATCCTCGACATGTGGGCCGACTGGTGTGCCGTCAGGCTCTTGGGCTTGAGGGGCCTGCACGCAACCGTATGTGACAGAGCAAGGACACAGTGACATCGAGATGGGTGAGCGCTATTGTTCTAGGGGTGGATGCACCAACCTCTTCCTCGACGGGCATCTCCTTCTTTGCCTCCCCTCCCGCACCGACTGCTCCCTCCCCCAGCGGCACCTCAGCTTTCTTGTTCTCCTTCTTGGCCTTCTGGACAACCTCGGCAGCTTCAACGACAGGCTCTGTCATGCAAGCGAACTCTCCAACGGCCGCAGGGGGGGCGCTGGAAGCACACACAAAAGCAG